TCCCAAATCATCCTTTAACCTGTTCAAGGAGCTTTAATCCCGGGTAAAAGCGCCCGATTTRGCAATCCTGAAAGAACGRGAATGCCGGCAAAGCCTAAAGCAGRRTTTAGGAGCTTTCTGAAACTTTTCAAGCTCAGCTCTGCAGAGCCAGGCTCTTTTCCCAGCTGCAAAATCACACCCACGTAGGATTTTCAGGGAATAAATCCCCGCCGTGCCCCCATCCCACCTCCCACAGCCCCCCAGTGCATCCCGGAACCCTTTTAGGGGTTTGGGTGGGATTATACCCATGCCGGGCTGTTCAAATCGATCATATAAATTGGTTTTGACTGGTTAAATTTCGCCTGCGCTTGAAAGCTGGCAAAAAGCACAGAAACTCTCGATTTAAATGAGAAAAAAATGTCTGAGCCTCACTTGATTTGTATTTTAAGGAACATTCTTGTAAAAAAGCTCCTGCCGTTTTTCCTGGCTCTCAGAGGGTGGTTTTTTATTTAATTTTATATATTTTTCTTTTTTATTATTGTTTTATGAAAYAAAATCCAAAGTGCTATCTTAATAAGAGATAAATAAATAGCATAAAGGAATGCAATAAAATAGGGTAAAATGGAAATAAAGGGAGTAAAACGGTGAAAAGAAAATAATTGTGGGGAAAAGGGGGGAAAATACGAATTGGGAAAGAATTCTCCCCGGGTCCAGACCCTCGTCCCCTGGGATCCCGGGGACGCTGAGGGGGGAGATGACCGATGTCAGGTGCTTGCTGTGTGTCGAGAAATCCCAAGGGCGCTGGGCACCCCGGGATCCTTTTCCTCAGGCAGGGATGGGATGGCGAGGGCTGCGGTACCGGGATTTGGGACAACCCCAGGGCTCTGCGCCCTCCCCCCGCGCTGCTGCTGGACAGTTCCTGGGGTCCYCTCTCCCCCCACATCCCCTCGCTGRTGTTTCTTTTCCCCCTCGTCCCKGTCGGATGTTCCCGCATGGGATCCGCGCCGCTCCCKTCCCCTTTTCCCCGCTTCCCACCCCTCTGGAGAGCTCCTGCAGGGGCTGGGGGCTGCCAGCATCGTCCCTTTGCTGTGTCCCGTCCTGTCCCTCGTCCCCAGTCGCCCCCAGAACCCCACGGGGAGCCCTTTGGGGTGGGCAGGTGGCTCAGGAGAGGCGAGAGCCAAGTGCGGGACTTGGGGATGGTTTTGCCACTCTGTAAAAACCGAGATAGGGAGGTGGAGAACGCGATAGGATCTGTCGCGACAGATGACTCCAGCCCGGCCGGAGSAGAGGGGAAGGAAGGAAGAAGTGAAGGAAGGAGGAAGGCCCAGGGCGGCTGCTGCAGGCAGCCATGACCCGATTTGGCTCTGCAGCCCCTCGAAGGAGCGGCACAAACGCTCCGTAGCCCCTCTCCCCTTCGATCAAGGCGGCCAGGCTCGGCCACGGCGTCCGGCTGATGCTGCAGGGTGGCTCGGGGAAGAGAATGAGAGCGGTGGATGGGTTTCACGCGTATTTAATTTTGTTCTTGTGCTGCCGTTGACCTCCGGGTTTGCAAACCTGTCCAGAAACCCAGACAGTTTCGCTTTGGGGGAGAAGAGCCAGCGGTTTTCCAGCTCATCCCCCCCGGGAAGGTCCCAGTATCCGAATCAAGGGAGCGTTTTCCCGATATTCCAGCCCCGGGTGAAACACATTTTCTTCAGGAATCCCTTCAGAAATCTCCCCAGGCCTCGGCACAGCCCAACACGAGCTGTCTCGTCCCTCCCATCCATCCCACCTTCCACAGAGCTCGTGGGAGGGCTACGGCCGAGAGTTTTTTGGGGAAGGCCACGAGCTCTCCTGTCATTTTGGAAGGGATTTTGCAGAAAATCCACACCCGGCACGGAAAGGCCGGGAGAGAAGGGAATAGATCCGTGATCCCGGGGCGATACGGAGCGACCCCGCAACGGTCCAGCGCCGGGGGGCGAGGGGCGGGCAGCTCCCGCCGGGACGTGATTCCTAAGGGAGCTCGGGAAGGGATGCAGCAGGAGCGGAGAGCTCTGATTCACATTCCCGCTCCCCCCCGGGCTGGGATGCAGCAGGAAAGGGGAGCTCTGATTTTTCCCCAGTTCCCCGCATCTCGGGATGCAGCAGGAAAGGGGAGCTCTGATTCACACCCCTTCTCTCCCACCATCCCGGGATGCAGCAGGTTTGAGGAGCAGCGATTTACACCCTTCTTCCTCCAATCCCGGGATGCAGAAGGATTTGGGAGCACTGATTTATACCATTCTCCCCCCCTCCCGGGATGCAGAAGGATTGGGGAGCACTGATTTTCACCCTGTTCCCCCATCCCGGGATGCAGCAGGAGCGGGAAGCACTGATTTACATCATCCTGCCCCCATCCCGGGATGCAGCAGGAGCGGGAAGCACTGATTTACACCATCCTTCCCCCATCCCGGGATACAGCAGGATTGGGGAGCACTGTTTTACACCCTGCTCCCCAATCCGGGGATGCAGAAGAATCGGGGAGCATTGATTTTTACCCTGTTCCCCCATCCCGGGATGCAGCAAAAACGGGGAGCACTGATTAACGCCCCGCTCCCCCCGGGAACTCCGGGCGCGACCTCTCCTCGCTGCCGCTTTAAAAGCCGCTCATCRGCTGCAGAGGAGGAGAAACCCATCCAGGAGCGCCTCCATCGCCKGCTCCGCGTTGTTTGTTTTTATTTTCCATTCAGGGAATGAGCGACGGTACCAACAAACATCAAGAACCGTCCTTCCCTCGCCTCCCCGGCCCCGCCGCAACCTCTCGGAGGGCTGACCCCCAGCGAACTCCAGCGATGCCGCCGGCAGGAAAGGGATGACACGGATAACAGGCAGAGCATGAGCTGGGAAAGAAGGAACGGAGAGAAAAGCCGCATCCCCGCCTCCAAGGATTTCCCACCGCCGAGAGGGGAAAACAAGGGAGGAAGCAAGAATTTTACTGGGGGAGGGAGCTCGGGGAGAGAGCGGCAGCCCGTGTGACTGTCTCCTGCCGTACACGCGAGTATTTATTATTTCACTAATCCGTGCTTGGAGCGTCTCAAGGAGCGGGAGAGTCCCCGAGGTGGGGGGAGAAGGGGCGTGTGGTGGGGGGAGACCCTCGGCCGACTGCTCTAAGGATGCGCCGGGCGGGTCAGAAAAGCCGCTCTCTGCTCCATCCCTGCCCGGCGAGGATGCTCCAGGGGCGGGGAGGCTGTCCGGGCGTGCTGGTCCCCAGTGTCGAGAGGCGGGGACCCCCCAGATCCCTCCTTTTCCCTYCCCTTTTTATTTATTTGGGGGTTGATCGCGCTTTTGGCACGGCGGGTGGTTGCTGCTGCTCCCGGGGGCCGGCGGGAGGGCTCAGGACGGGGGAGGGACGCGGAATTTGGGGCGAGGGCGGTGTCGGAGGGGTGAATTTCCCTCCCACGCGTGGGCACAGCCAGTGAGAAGGGAGACCCCAACCTCCCCCGCCCCAGAAGCCGCCTCCCTCCGCACCCCGGCTGCGTTTCCCAGGCTCTCCTGGAGGTTTGCAGCTTTCAGGACGCTCCCGGAGCTCCACAGCATCGCGCTGGGTTTTACCCCGGGGATGAAAACCCTTCTCCCGACGGGGGAGCAGCAGTGGGCGAGAAACCCCACGGGGGAAGGGGGATTTGCAGGGAAATCGGGGGATGGGGAGGTGGAGGCATCGCCAGGGCCGGGTGATGCTGGGGGACACCCCGGAGCTCGGCTTTTACCTCTTCTCCTGCCAGGTAAAAATCCCACCAGGCTCGTGGGAGCTGAACTGCCGGGATATTTCTCTCAGAAGGAGAAAAGATCCCCATCAGGCCTCTTCTTCCCTGCTCCGGGCAAAAGATGCTCCACGGAACAGGGGCTTCAGCAGCTCTCAGCCCGCGGGGGRAATGGGGACACAGGCGACACCTCCCAGCTGCATCGGAATCCCTCGGGGCATCGGATTAAAGCTGTTACGTCAGTAAATTAAAAAAAAAAAAACCTTAAAAAAAATCCAACAACAGAAAACACAGCCCCAAACCTGGACGTTTATACAGAAAAAGAGCATCACAAATTCCTAATGTAAGCACCGGCCAGCTGTGTGCACTTGTAAAGTTGTTATAATCCCCCTCCTTGTTATAAACAGGAAAGTACATAATATAAAGCAACAGGCCCGCATTCACAAATACTGACCCTCCTCCCCGGGCCTGCCAAATCCCCTTTCTCTGCAGTCTCCCCGGCGCAGCTCTGCCTGCTCGGGCTGGGAGCGGGGCCGGACCGGGGGTCCCCTTTCGCCGGTCCCGGGGGTCTTTTGGGGGCGGAGAGCCGGATCTTTGCTCTGGGAAGGGCAAAGGGACCCTCCACACCTGAGCCCCCCCGTCCTCAAAACCCCACACAGTCCCTTTYCCTTCCTCCCCATCGCAGCGCCGCCTCCTCCTCTCATCCACGCTTTTCTTCCTATCTTCATTTTTTTTTTTTTAATTTTTTGTGTTGTTTAATGCCCCAGTTTTGCTGCGGGGATCCCTGGCCGCTCCTCCCCAGCTCCAGCAGTGTACATCCTGCTCTGCTGTGTGTGCTTACAGCGTCAAAGGGTGGACGTGATATTTCAAACATCAGATCAGTGCGTTTATATATTGGGTGCCCGGAAATTTTTCCAAATAAACACAGCTTGATTCGACTTGGGTGGGCAGACTTATCAACAGACTAATTCTATAAACAAATGAAGGAATAACCCGGAGACCATTGGCTGGTACCAGCGAGACACGTGGAGAGAGCTCGGAGTTTTGTAGCAATGAAATTTTAATTAATGTGGGTGGGCTGAGAACACAAACGACTGTTTATCAGAGACAATTTATTTTCCAGCGCTAAGTCAACATATAATAGCAAACTTACAACAATTATTTAACTTTTTTTTTTTTTTTTTTTTTTTTTTTTTTTTTTTTAAGAGCTATGAAGCAGGGACAGAGGCAGAGCGAGCTCCTTCAGGCAGGGCTGGGAGCTGAGCTCGCACAAACAGCTCCCCGGTGGACTCGTCCCAGGTTCCTGCCCTGCCCCGTCCCTTCGCTCGGCTCCGAGGGGGAAGACGCGGAGCTGGGAGCCCTCCGGCGATGAGCCACATCTACGGCAGCCACCTCTCCCCKCTGGGCAGCCCGTCCATGGTTTATCTCCCGGCCGCGCTCGGCTTYGCCCCCGCGGGGGCGATGTCCCGGCAGGACCCCCCTCAAAAACCCCCCTACAGCTACATCGCCCTCATCGCCATGGCCATCAAAGAAGCTCCGGGCCAGAAGGTGACCCTCAGCGGCATCTACCAGTTCATCATGGACCGCTTCCCYTTCTACCACGACAACAAGCAGGGCTGGCAGAACAGCATCCGCCACAACCTCTCCCTCAACGACTGCTTCGTCAAAGTGCCCCGCGAGAAGGGGCGGCCCGGCAAGGGCAGCTACTGGACCCTGGACCCGCGGTGCCTGGACATGTTCGAGAACGGCAACTACCGCCGCAGGAAGAGGAAGCCCAAAGCCGCGGCCCCGCCGGACACCAAGGGTGGCGAGCAACCGGGACCGCCCGCTCGCCCCGTCGAGCCCAAACGGGTCAAGGGCAGCGCGGCGGCGGCGGGGAGGGGGRTCCCGGGGGATGCGGGGGTCCCGGGGGATGCGGGGGTGCCTCGGCCGGGCGGGGGGACAGCGCCTTCCCCCGGGGTGCCCCCGCCCGTCCCCGCTGCCCCACCGCACAAGAACACCCCCCGAGCCCGCAGCTTCAGCATCGAGAGCATCCTGGCTCAGGGGCTGCGGCCGCCGCCCCCCGGGGCAGCCCCCAAAATGGCCCGGGACAGCCCCGCCGGTTGCCTCGGCGGCTCCCTGGTGGCCAGCGGCGGCTTCGGGCCGAGCCTCAACGCCTCGCTGATGCTCGACTCCCAGGTGCACGGGAGGCTTTACCACATCGGCATCCCCTTCCTCTCCTGCTTCCCTCTGCACTTCTCCGAGGCCGTGTTTAATCTCCAGTAGCTGCCCCCCCAATTTAACGCCCCCCGGCCCCGAGCGCTGCTCCGGGGGGCGCGATGGGAGGGAGACACCGGACTCAGACCTCACCACGCGGGTAAAGAACTAAAAAAAAAATACCAAAATCCCCCCCAAGCGATGTTTTAAAGGTGACTCAGGATTTCAGGGCATTTTCAAGGCGCGTCTTGCTGCGGACTGTCTTTAGCGGTTGCCTCCCCCCCCCTGCCAGAGCGACTTTTGAAGGTAACGCGGCTTTTTTTTTTTTTTTTTTTTCCCGTGGGTAGCGGAGGCAGAGTCAGGCACTGGGGGATGCCCACGCTGCCCCCCGAGCCCTGTGGGGTTTGCTCGGCACCTTTCCTCTTTATACCATCCCTCAGGTTCCTCAGCCCCGGTTTTCTGTCGAGCTTTTCAGGTTTCTGGGGTTTTTTTTGTTTTTTTTCTTTTCTTTTTCCTTTGGAAATCAACCCCACCCCGCCCCATCCCGGGGTGGGGGAGGAGGCTGGGTTTCGTTTTGCCGTGAATACCCACCGGGATTAATAACCCCCATCATTTTGCCACGAATACCCACAGGCACGTCATAATTCCTGATATTCCCCGCTGTCCCAGTGCTCCCAGTGGGTAAAGGCAGGGAACTGGAGCTGAACTGGCAGATGGAGCAATCCAGGCTCATCCTGCACATTCCTGCTTTCTTTCATCCAGCACTGGGTGGATTTGGTTTTCTGCCCAGCACTGGTATCCCCACAGTTTCTGCTCATGGATGTGTCCAAAAAGAGGGGGATGGATGAGCAAACATGGAGATTTATCCACTTTCTGTATCTCGCTGGGATCAGTTGCTTCTGACCAAAAAAAAGGCCAAGGCAGGGTTGTGGAGGCCAGGACAAATACCAGAAAAAAAAAAACCCAAAAAAAGAAAAAAAAGACATCAGCTATGTTTCTAAAGTTTTCTTTTTCCACGGAGAAGGAAGAATCCATACACATTGCAAGAAATCAGGAATATTTTGTATTTTTGTTTGCCATAAATAGAGGCTTTTTGTATATTAGTGGATAAATGCCTGTTTGGAAAAAAAAATTATATTCTCAATTTTCATTATGAAACCAAACYTATATCCAATAAAGGTATTTTTGTTCAGGAGTGTGGCTGGTGTGATGTAAAACACCCCTTGGCTTGTGCTGGAGGATGCAGGATTGGGGCCTGCTGCTGGATGCAGCAAATATCCTGGTGCTGATGTGATGGACCATGGAAAAAATGGGAGAGGCTGAAATTAGGCTCCTGGGAAATTACCTGTTCATTGAMACGGATGAAATGTTTCCCAGAATGATTGTTCCTCCTTCTCTTTCCCTTCTTCCATCCCACCCCATCTCACCAGCAAATCCTGTCCTCAAATGAACACCTGGATATTGGAAATGTGGGGTTTTCTGATGATTTTTAATTCAGTTTTTGCAGAGGAAGGCTGGCATCAATTCCTTGACATTTGGACGTGGGGTGCTCATTCCAGCCCAAGGCAAAGAGCTCTCATGTGAGGAAGGACAGAAAACCTCTAAAATGTGGGAACTGATGTTTACCTTCCCAAAAAAAAGATGCTTATAGGCTGATGCCTGGGTAGGCCGAGCTGCAGCTTCTCAATGCAAAAAAAAGAGAATAAAAAAAAGACTTTTTTTAAAAAATAGATCTGCAAAATTGACTTTATTTTAATAAAAATATTCTTCCCTTATTTTCTTCCTATTTCTGACAGCTCCTGTTTGAATATCTATTGAGTCTGTTGTTGAAAGCTATGGCACTGAATTAAAAAATGGAATGCTTGTGAAAGGGAAGGTGTCCCTGCTCAGTCACACCATAACTCACGGGGCTGAGAGGGTTAAAGCTCCCTGTGTGCCATCCCTGTCCCTGCAGTGACACAAGGAGGGATCCTGCATCCCTGGTGTCCCCACAGCCAGGCCCATGGAAGGGTTTTACCCCCCAAAATTGGGTATTTATGCTCTTCAGTCATCACTTTTACTCTGTTCCTTCAGCTCCTCCCTTTCTCACATCCTCCAGCACTGTAACCCCCAGTTTTGTCACCTCTCAGCCCCCAAAGTACCTTTTAGGACCTGCAAACAGGGCTTTTATTCCTCTCCTACTCACACAAGTGTAACCTCTCCCTCTCYGAGCCCTTCCTGCACAAAAGCAGTTTTTTAGTGGTCAAAAAAATCGAGTCTCCATTTAATAACGATATATATTTTTATCACAGACACTTTTTTTTGGAAACTCAGCTTTTCCTGCGCAATGGGAATTTGTTTCTTTGCGAAGTTCTGCTTTGACATTTGATCTCATTTCTGTTTTGGTGGAGTGGGACCGAGTACAGCTGCAGCGTTTAAAAGCCGCGTTGACCTCGATTTTGGTTTCGCTTGAGAGAGTGAAATTAGTAAACTTAACGTGCTCTGCACAAAAAGTGACACCAAATCCAGTGAACTCAGAATGCAGTTCTGAGGGGCAATTTGGAATTAATTGGGATCAGGCCAGTGCTGTAACAGGGGATGAATAGCAAGAGAAAGGGTCTCACTGCCAGCAGGCTGGATGAGTAACCACACACGGCTTTTGCACGTCATCTGTTTATAGAGAGGGGAGAAGTCATGGTACAGTAAAAACACACAATAAAAACATACAATAAAAACATAAAATTAAAGCGCAACGATAAAAACATAAAATAAAAACRTGCAGTAAAAGCACGCAATAAAAACCTAAAATTAAAACACGTGATAAAAAAATGACGGCGGAGCAATGAGTGTGCAGTGAATGCACCAGTTCCTCCTTTGGGTGGGACTGAGCATCCTTTAATCCTCCCCACATCCATGTGAATTTTGGTGCCGCGCCACGGAAATATCGAGGAGCTGACAAGCAGTGAGGGATCGGCGCCAACGGTTTCACACCTGCTTCACAAGCCAAAAAAGCGGCTGCCAAGCACAAAACTGCCACCCAGCATTTCACTCATCCCTCTTCTCCCTCCTGGCTTTCCCAGCCTCTCAGGGCTGGCTATAAACACCAGKCTGGAATAGTGGGGAGAAGTGGAGAAAACAGGCTGGGATGCTGTATAAACAGCACGCTCCTTGTGTGGGCGATGGAGATGCCTTCCCCTTCCTCTGGAGAGGAATGACCTCTCCCAACCCAGCAAGGTTTCCCGTCTCYGAGCTCTGCAGCCAATTTTAACTCGTAGGAGCCGGGGAGATCACAGAGTGGAAGAGGATCACGGAGGAGTTGTTTGGTTCCCAGAGCGGCTTTGGTCCAAACACAAGTTTCCTATGAGGGGAGATGAAAATTGGGCGTATTAAAGTAATTCCGGAGTTTAATTTCTCATAAATGGGGCTCCMAGGCTTTAAACAGGCTCAGTGTGTGTTCTCCTCAAGTTGGTCCCACAGTGTGTGTAAAATATAATCAAGTATTTTGATTATATATATCAAATAAACATGTCATATTATTATATATATAATTTATATTAAAACACAAGAGCAGAAGCCACTTCCAGGGTTTGTCACTCGAGGTGTGGCTGATTCCAAGGTGACCCAAATCTGAGGGACTTTGTGGCTTTTTCTCCTTCCCCCCACCCCCATTTTAAAAGTAAATTCTCTTTCAGTTCTTTGCCACAGAAGACATAAAGGAGAGAGCATCCCTCTTCACACCAAAACCCCCTGGCTTCCTGCTGGCTGCTGCTGAGCCTGGTGTGAGRAGCAGCCAATTCCTGAAGCAAAAAGAGGGAAGAAGGATCTGCTTCCTCACTTGATTCATAACCCCACACACCCCTAGAGGAGATCTCCCGGGAGACAGCGTTTGGGATATTAAACAGATCCCATATTTGATTTGAAGTGAAAGACCAAGAAGACAAGATCACAGGATGAGAGAAGTTACAGATGGAAAAGGTCTACGAGGTTATGCAATCCATCAGTCTGGACGYTGCATAATTGCTCCCCGCAGTATATTTTTAGTGCTTTATCCAGACAAATCATTAAGTGCTTTAAAATGGGCCAGATTCCTCAAACGCAGTGCGTGCTAAGTCACAGCTGATTTCGCTGAGCCTCGCAGCTYCAGTGTCTAACAAGACACCAAAAGGAAGTTTTGTGTGGTCAGAGAGAGCAGAGCGGGCCCTTCCAGAAATAATCCAGGCCTGGTTCGCTATCCCTCACAGGAATCTTTCCTAAATTGACTGAATTAGACCTCTACAATCTCATTTTCGGATTATCGTGAATAATACATTATTACTTATTCAGATGTTCACTTAGGCCAAAGTCAAACATTGCTCATGTTCATGCGAACACGATTTGTTTTAAGCCAGCTTCAAAGCCGGCTCAGTAAAGCGTAAAGAATGTTTATTTAAAATATGGTTGCTAAATTTAGCCTGAGCTCGGTTAGCCTAAATCTTAGCGACATTTTTAGAGAGCACATTGCGAATCAGGAATGCATGGAGAAATAAATAAACTTTCCCACATTTTTGGAAATCGAGGAAGAATTTGCGAGCTCTTTCTCGCACGGGCGATTGCCGCGGATTGGAAAGCGTCGCGGAGAACGCAGATTTCCCACTCAACAGAGGGTTGGAAACGCACAATGCTGATCATTTTCGCTGCAGTTGCATTTCAAATAATGCTCCCTCAAGGAGGAAACAAAAGCTGTCAGCTTTTTTTTTTTTTTCAGAAATTACGCAGAGCACCGACATGTTTCAATATTTACTCAAGCTCTTTGCGAAACGCCGAGAAGCAAATGGAGCTGGGCTTGGCCACGAGCCACATTTAAAGGAAATCTCAGGTTTGGATTGGTGCTTGTGACTTTTCCTAGGARTTCTGAAGCTGGGTTTTACACCCACCTCTCGTGCATTGGTTCCTGACATCCCCCAGCTGGATCCTGGGCTGGGTGAAATGCCAGCCTGCCTCTGGGTTGGACATTTAGACAGAAAACATTTATGATTTTCCTTTTCACCTTCCYGAGTTTACACAGCTTAAAGAGGCACATTTGGGTCACCTTTGCCTCCAATGACATTGCCTCAGAGACACGAGGAAACCCGTGATGGGAAGATGAKCAGATTTATGAGGGTGAACAGTTAAATTCTCTTTTCTCAGGTCATTTWTTATCATCTCCCATCCCTTGGCCTGGTGTGAGTGTAAGAGATGTTTCTGCCCCTAAAGTGGGAGGGTTCCCGCTGTACCCTCAGGGGCTAAAGGCACAAGGGATGTGTCCAATATCCCCTAAAGAACCAAAGCTGGTTGGGATTGGGGTCAG